GAGCTGAAGGAACCTGAGCGCTGATGCTGAGACTGGTCTTGGCCTTCCAGGTTTTGGCCTTGCACGGTTTTGATGCCTTCTGCTTAGTTTGTAAACTTTTGTTCATTCCCATCTTATTATTTTGTTTTTTTGCAGTGGATGGTAGATATTGTGGCGAAGGCCTCTAATTAATAGCCAAGATTTGACCACCCCAACTGTTCAATCTCAAAACTCTTTCTGTGGACGAGTGTTTGGTTCGTCCATGTCGATGTTCTCCTATTGTTGAGCATTTATTCAGCATTCGAGTAGAAGGAGGTCACACGTAGCCTTAGAACTTCTACTTGCTGAACTTCTCTTAGGTCAAGGTGCACCCCAAAGGTCCCAGCAGACAGTTGGATCTCATTTCTTTCATGAACAAACATGCCTTATGGATATACCTTGAAACGAGCATGATAATCCCACATATCAAGTAGAAGATCCTTGTAGATTGGACCATCCTTATTTCCCAAATCTGCATAGAGTGTCATGTGGCCAACTTCTTTTGACAAGCGACTCTAATCCGCAGATTCTGCTCACCGTCTCCGACATTCCCATCCAACAGCAGCAGGTGTTTTTCTTTTTCCCATCAGCAGGTTCACAGGCGCCATCTTGGGCCAGGATTCAGAGCAACAAAAGCAGCAAAATTCGCTGAAGACCGTCGGGCGGCCTCAGCTCATCTTCCGCACAGGTCATGTATGCATCCCCCAGCCTTGACGGATGACAATTGTTTTTTCATACGACGAACAGGCAACTTTACTACAATTATGTTTTTGCAACACTCAAAACCAGCTAGGAATATAGTTGACAGGATCAGAGAGCACGGAGGTACCCTCCCACGAGAGCGGCTGCTAAGAAGTAATGAAAGGTGTTGCGATTCAATTTCGGTGGAGATCACCAGATTGCAGTAGCTACCACGTTTGAAAGTATTTCATTGTTTCTTCTTTGTTTGCAATGGTTGTTTGTTGTCTCGTTTCATTGTTGTTACCTTCCCCAAATGTCTATTTGCTGGTTTCAAGATTCAACACTTTGTGAAAAGAGGATACAACCTTTTACGTTTAAGGAAAAAAATTTTTGCTTACACTGCAGCCGTCTTTGCTCCGACTCGGCGACCGGCCTCTGCCGCGGAGCCCACTAGCGATGGCCCGGGACGACGAGCGTGAAGAGCGCGAGGGCCGCGACCGCGACCGCAAGGAAAAGAAGGCGGAGCATCAGTTAAAATCTCTGCACTTGATCGGTCAAGTTGAACGCAACTCCTGCAGTCATGGTTGAAGCAGTGAGGTCAGCAAGAATTCTAGTATGGCAATTTGCAGTCATGTGCTCTGCGGGGAGCGGATTCACTTCTTACTTCCTCAGTGAGTGTTGAAGACTAGATCAAAACTGCTGTTTGATACATGAGCTTGAATGCACTATCAACCACCACTCCACACAGCGGGCAACCGGTTCAGCTTCTGCACCTTGCAGGAAAAGAAGAAGAGGCCGATTCTTCACAAGCAACAAACATCGCATGGTTGTTTCTAGGAAGCCCTCAAGAAAAAAACATAGAATCTGATACAACACAAAAGATGCCTGGGAGCAAGTTGCCGCGATCTCAAGAGCAAAGCTTGAGATTGCTAGTTCATGTCAGTGCCAAGAATTTGCCACCCTTCTACACAGCGAGATGTAGTTTGGATTTTTGACGCCCTCGATTTTGTCAAATTTTGGCTTCGAAACAGAATGAGTATATATTATATGCTGATTTTGACCGGAAGTGCTCATGCCTGGACGGCCAAAGCCAACATGTGCTGCCTTGCCCTATTTGAGAGATACAGCCTACACCTTCTTTTTCATTCAACCTTCTTTTTGGCAGCGTCTACTGGAGGCTTCCCCTTTAAGGTTTGCGATGACACGGTGTGAACTCCGCAACAAAATGTCATTCTGTAGAATTCAACCATCCAACCTGTTGCTTGATCGACGTTTTTGGAAATCTCGTAAGTTTGCTTGTCAAATCAGGGAGTTTAATTCAAGATCATCTCTTTTTTGTTTGAGACGCACTTTTTGTTGACAGGCGAAGCGCCTCCTCAGAGTCCGCGGAGCGGAGCCGTGAGCGAGAGAAGCGACGCCGCAAGCAGCAGCAACAGGCTAGTCTCATAGAATAACATGCATGTATGTACACTGTACATTGTACTGTACATATGTATGTATATATGTATGGGTGTGTATATCAGTTTCAATTAGTTATAAGTTATGAGTGTTCGATTCCCTTTTTTGGACATTGAAACGGTCTTCAATTGTCCTGGATGTCGGGTTCAAATTTATGCTCTCAGCTGTTTTGCATAGGCTTCTTGCTCTCATTTGGACTGGCAGACACGTCGTCCAAAACACATTTTAGCGAAATGCACAGGACATACATGTTCGAAGTGAACCCAAGCCTTTGTAGAAATCAAGAGGACATTGTAACAGTCATGTAGGTTTTTATTTGGGAGCTGTTTTGTGGTCTTCTCCAAAGCAGTGTCTTTTAAAGTGTAACAAGTTGTCAGTCGAAGTACTTTTATCTATGTCCATGCCAAAGCTCATCATGGCTTCCTGTCAGGTTGTAAACAAGAACAGAAAGGCAGGTGAAGGTGGTGTAGGCCTGGATGTCGGCGTTGCTTGCCACATTGATTTCAACCCGCTTCTGCGCGCTGCAGCCAACAAAGCTGGTCCATTGCACTTTGACGGTATGTCAGCATATGTTCAAATGTAGTTGCTTGTGATGTGACAATACTAGGAGCAAGGACGCTACTAGGGGCTCCTGGCATCGCTACTAGTAACAAGAAGCTACTGGGGGCTCCTGGCCTTACTACTAAGAGCAAGAACGCTACTAGGGGCTCCTGGCCTTACTACTAGGAGCAAGGACGCTATTGGTAGCCCTGTGCCATCCAGTGCTGCACCCAAACCCTTTGATTTGTTGCCAGCTTCTGCCCAACCCTCTCTCTCTCTCTGGGTGATGCAGGGGGCATCCGTTTGCCAGGCGGTCAGAGTATGTTTTGGGACGGCTTCCAATGGGTACCTAGGGCCGACACAGGCTGGGGCCGTTCCCAAGTCTTTCAGCCGTGTGACTGCTTATGCCCTTTGTCAAGAAATGTGGAGAGGGCTGTGATTCTTTTTTTTTGTTTTTGAAGCCATTCTGTTTCTCAGAACAGCTGGACCTGGAGTTGCGTTTTGCACAGTGGTTTGGAAGGTTTCAACAATCTCTTAGATCAACTGGATTTGATGTTTGATAGATTTGCGTGGCTCCTATCAACAGGTCAAGTCTTCCAAATTGCTTGAATGAGCTTTTGGCAGGAGCTAGCACTGTGTGGCTGGGAAACTGCCCTAGTATGATTTGTCATGGACCTAAGTTTAAAGCACAGTTCAGACAGACAGGAACGCCGCAACTGCAGTACATTGACAGGAATCACCAATGACATCAACGCCTCCCGGAAGAACAGGCCTCAATGATGGGGAATGAAATTGAGCCTCCCACTGGCATGCTTAACTTTAGATCACAGGAAGGCACCTGTTTTTTTGCACGATTTGGTGCTGTGAGAGCATTGCCTTGATGAACCCTTCAAGCATTTCCGGTTCTGGTCAACGAGTTGGGCCCAAGGCTCCAAAACTCACCTGGCAAGTCTCAGTGACAGAGGATACTCTCGGAAGCTGCTCTCAAAGCCAGGCGTCTTTATCTGGGAAACCTGCCATATCACCTTGGTGTCACGGAGGCCGGGGTGCCAGGTGGCGCAAGAAAGCCTTGAACAAAGGACACGTTCGACACACCTCGACTATCTGCACTTTTCGTTCTTCCTTCTTTTGCTCAAGACAGCTGAAAGCTGTATACTGTTTTAGTTTTTCCTTCTCAAAGTCACCATCGGACCATGGGAGCAAAATCAGTATTTGGACAAGGACCTTGTCCTGCTGCAAACAGTCATTTTGACTTTGGCTGATTAAGAAGTCCCATTGTGGACGCGCAGGCGTTTTCAAGCAAGGCCTTGGTCAGAATGTGTTTTGCTTCTGGCTGGAGAGAGGTGAGTCGACCCAGCAGCTTTAAGGATTCCTTCTCCAAGCAGCTTTACGAGACGATGCGTGATCGAAGTATGTGCAACGATCCGAAACTTGGCAGGCAAAGCTTTCATGTCTGACTCTGAAACAGAGAAAAATCACAGCAGTGAGTTGAGTGGATAGGATACTTGTCAGATAGTACCAACGACTCGAACTTGACATGACCACTCAAGGCCCACACATTTAGATTTGGTTTCCAGTATTGGCAGCTTGTTACTGTAGATGGATCAGCATGGTGCTGAGAAACAGTTTCTTGCTCTCTGTCCTGAGTCTATCCTCATTCATTGGTGATTGTTTGAAGTGCCGCCTTGACATTGTGACACAGTCGGTTCAGAAAGTTTCTTCACCAATTTACTGTGGGTAGGCAATGCAAAGTCATTGCTAGAAGTTGTGTGCAATCCGACGTCTCCTATTGCAATCCGACGTCCCCTATTCTTTTTAAATGTTGTAGTGTAAGAGTCTTCGTTGGCCGGAGGCATGCTATGCGCAAAAAAGTTCCCCCATTTCACCTGGATCAGACAAGACTTATGATTGGCCATTAGGCCTTGGAGAAGCTATTGCATCATCACGGTCACTTGGGTCGTTCACTGCAGAGTGCACAGTCCTTCCATCTCAGGAATCAGAACCCAGTGCTGCATGTGTGGTTCGCGCGTGACAAGGGTGTGCACCTCAGCTCATGGCGTCAAGACACACAAAACATGAAGACAGCCTGTGGTAACGTGCTACTCAAACAGATACACCTAGCGACCAACTCGGTGAACGAGCAATCGGCCGGGACCAATTATATACCATCTCGAAAGAACAAGAGTACATGAACATTGAACAGCTGTTCATAATACTACATATAGATGTTTTTTCTTTTCTGGTTTGTCCGCCCCATAGCTTCATACTGGAACTTGGTGTGATCCATATCGTTCAGCTTTGAGGTGCCAACTACGGCTTTTGTGAGATTGCATCACAGGAGGAGACGGAGAGGGTTTGAGCCTTATTTCGGGCGAGCCTACGTAAAGAAAGCAACTCGTTTGACCGAAGCCGTGCCGGCTTGAGGACCCTACTAGGGGCTCTTGGCATCGCTACTAGGAGCAAGGACGCTACTAGGGGCTCCTGGCCGTACTACTAGGAATAATGTTCGCTATTAGGAACAGTTCTTCAACAGAAAAACATCGTTGCAAAAGAACAAGGCTTTGCAGCTGGACGGCATGTTGGTGCTTGGAGTGCCGGTGTCCATCAAGCGGCCGAATGACGCAGTCAGCCCTCTAGGTGCCGAGAGACATGGGACAAACTGCAACCTACGCAATCTAGGCAACCAAGCGACCTGGGTAACCCACAGGAACAAGTATTTCTGGTGGAGCAACTGAAAAGTGTTCAAGCGCAGAAAACCAAACTAAAGACGATCCAAGGTCGAATAGTGGAGCGCTCGAATGCATATTTGTGACCTACCTCCACCCAACATGTATAATTACTGACCTTCACCTTGAAACGACATGTGGATACATGTGGATGCAGATACACTGGAGTGGCCAACTTTAGTATCCCACTAGATTGCTAGCTTTGTTAGATGCGGTCTGCAGGTAAAACAGTCTGTTAGCCTGTCAAAAAATGCCCATACAAAAAACCAACACGTGCACACACACAGGGATTAAGTGTACGTACGATCAATGCATCCAAAGGCTGCCCCAGGGACGCAGGTATTTCAATTGGCCTGGGTGGCCACAGGCACTGCAAAGGAGCCCAACCAACATGGCATTCAAGTAGCTATCAGCCCCTCTACCAAGGGTTCCATGTTTCCAAATCTCCACTGCCACGTCTCCAAATACAAAGTGAAAGTTTCGCCTGAGTAAACCAGGTGAACTAAAACCACGACACTTACTGCCGAAACAATGCGTAAGACAGCTTGAGCTTTACTTATACTTAGTTCATTCTAGACACTCAATGAGTTAGAAGAAGATAGCTTCAAGTATATGAACCACCACCAAGCAAACCAGGGGACCACAGCAACCCTACGATTGGAGAACGGCTAAAACATTAACAAACTGCAGGTACAGGAAGGTGATCAGCCTTCCCTTCCCATCCATGACCGTAGCTTCGTTGCACACGGGTTATGGATGCCGTGTGCCCCTGCTGTAAACATCTTCCCTGTGACTCGAAGGGTTTCACACACACACACACACTTTGCTCCAATCTTTTAATCTTTTGAGCGAGCATGGAAAGCACATATCCAAAATAGACAGATCTTCACAATTTATGCAAAGGCAGTCTGCGTGCCAGAAAATCATGTTAATTCAGAAGTGTTTGCCAACAAGCTTGGCGGCCTTGGCGTGTCAGGCATGATCGGTGGTGTTCCAGTCGGCATGCAGATGCCTGGCCAGGGAGGCATGTTGGCCTTACCCTCCGCACAGGCAGGGTGGTTGCATTGTGCACCCAAGCGTTACCACTTGTGGCAGCAAAGGTGCAAAACCTATCAACACCTGCTATGCATAATTAAAGTTTTCTTATTGAAAAGCAAGGAGCAACCATTCTCAAGTGTGCTGTTTCCATTACACTGCTCAAAAATCACCCAGGCAGGTTCAGAAGTCACAAACGTACTAAAGATCTTTCCAAGTGTTTTCTTGCACTTGGAATGTCAATGTTGAGTGCTACAGATTAAAGGGTCATTTTGGCCGAGCAAGCCACCTCAGAGTGTGTGAGCGGTCAAAAAACATAACCGGAAATTGCGACTGTGAAGACCATTTTCCTCTACAAACACACTTCCATATTAGTAGTCCCAAGGGTAGACCGTGTTATATTTTCCTAGGTCAGTGCGACCAGCCCAGTGATCCGCATTGATGAGATCCTAAAGGCAGATTCTGTCGGAAGTGGACTCGGGCCTCGATCGGTTTCAAAGAACGTGAACAAGTTGTTTTCTGAACAGCCCGTCATGTTCGTTTCTCGTAATGCAAGGCTTTGGTGCAAGAGTCGCTGAGTTTTAACCAGTGAGTTTGCCACCAATTTCAGACAGGTTGCTTTGAAATGAATCACTGATGAGCTGATGAGCCAAGCTGAAAGTGACAAAAGCAGATGCAGTTCCTCTTGCGGAAAGCAGCAAACACCACGACATATAGTCAATAGCATGATGGAGAGATGACATGTTTCAAGATACAGTCCTCTTGAGTTCGCGGCATTATCGTCACCCTTTCATGTTCTTGTGGAAGCGAGTTGGTTGTTTGGCTGACATCTCTGTGCAGGTGGATGACAAGACAACAGACGATGATTATAATGATGTGAAGGAGGACACTAGCGTGATTGGCTGATTTCTTTTTGTGTGCTCTCCTGGTCCTGGCCATTGATTGTCGAAGTGCCACCAACATTTTTGCCATCTCCAAAGATATTTTTCAGCCTTTTTGAAGGGAGCCCTGACGAGAGGGTCGCGCAAATCTAAAGAAATTACTTAAAAAGAACTGTGCATTGGGCACTCATGAAAGGAGATGAGCTTGGTCGGGTGAAACTCATAAAAGAGAGAGAGAGAGAGAGTGCGAGAGCGCAACAACGTTACCTTCTCACGGCCCTTGCATAGTACAGTAGTTTACTTTAGCATGAGAGTGCTTTGCCGAAAAATGACATTTGACTGGAACTGATTCAGTCATGATCCTGTGGCTACGCTGACGTATATAATATACGAGTAAGATTTGGCAATTGAAAGAGAAGGAAGTTCGTACTTGTCTTTCAAAATGTTCCACTACATCTAACCTGTACTACCCTCCCCCCGCAACATATCTCGCCAGGACATGGCCGAGGGCTGTGGAGCCCATGGAAAACTTGTCAGTGTCGCGATTGTGAAGCCCCATCATGCACAGGCAGCCCGCGTTGCAGCCGTGTTTGGCGGGCGGGGGTTCTTGACCGCCGAGGTACCACTCAATTGACCTGAAGAGAGAACTGATGTGAAATGACACCCTGATGGAGGTAGACGCCTTGGTCCGATTCGGGCAGAGTCCTGAACCCCAACCTGCAGAAGTCCCACTTTATCAGAAATACAATCATCTTGGCTTTGAGGTCACTGATGCATACACTGCGACGGCATCCAACCAGAACTGGAGCCCAGTAAAGGCCCCTGATACCAATAAGCCCCACAGCGCTGTTTGGAAGAACTAACCGTGCTGCCGCAGAGGGCAATGCCACCTTGAAGCCTGGTGATGTCTTCTTACAATGCAGCACTACGGATGATGCCACAAAGATCATGCGTGCCATGGGGCACCGCAAGTACGATGGAAGGCACGTGGGGGACGAGGAATTATGTGTTCGGGTTTTTGCAGCCATGGAACACTCGTGCTCGCATACGGGTAATCTTTTCTTGTCACAGCGAGCAACTTCATTTCTTTATAATGAAGGATCCACCAACTGGGTGTTTTTATTTTTATTTTTGCTTGAAGGACCAACATTTGGTTGCGTGTGTTGCAAACATCGCAATAAATGTCTTGACAAGCGGTCAGCAGTTCTCGTTAAAGCCATACCAGTGACCCTTTAACCCAATCTTGAAAAGGCCTTAGAAAGTCATCACTGGCTCAAGTGTGATTGGGACCCTCTTTCAGCTACTACAGTCTGAACTTGAGCTGAAGAGCATACTGCATGCAGCTTACCAGTAAGAACCCGTTGGCTGTTGGAGCTGTCCACATGCCAAAGGTAGCAAGCCCTAAGCTCGCCTGTAGCTTTATAGGGCTTTATGTTCAGCCCGAAAGTGGGAGGCAAATCCACATGACCTCCTTCGAAGAGAGCAAGTTCATGAGCGCCCTGTTGCACTTGGATTTAGACCACAGCCCGAGTCAAGCCAAGATGAGGCATACACATGTGTTTATGAGGCATGCATTCACACTTGAGGACCGAAAAGTGTGTCGTACAACTCAAATGCTTAGTTGCTGGCAGGTCGAATTGTGGTAACATGGAAAATATCAAGTTTAGCTTGACATTTTGCAGCACAAGCCTGGCAAGGCAATGTGCACCGAATGGATTGCATAACACATTGATACATTGGCCATCTGTAAAAATACATATATAATATTGCGAAGAAACAGCATTCCAACTTCATGGATGACACGCACAAAACGTGCATACAAACCGAAGACCCTTTTGAGCGGTTCAAAGAGCTCACGCATGGTAGCGGAGCTGTGAGGGACACTCCTAAGGTTTGTCCTGAGCTCCAGAGCTCTGATCGGGGACCGGACCCAATCCCCACTCCGCGCCCCCGTTCCTCGCTCGTGTCGTGCCACCATAAACTAGTGTTGCACGTTCTCGCATTCATTGCTTGAGATTACGTGGTCACGGAGCGAGTTGAACACTTTGGACTACCTACATCCAGCTAAAGAAGGAAGTTTCTGAGGTCCAGGAAGTGGAACCACATCCTTGTGCCCGAGGCCGTCCCGGAATCAGAGAGGGGAGAGGTTGGAGCCTTTGCATCCAGGCTGAAATGGACGGGTCTGGACCTACAGGTTTCGAAGATTTGACACAGGCCTTGATTGCAACAGCCCAAGCAGCAACTCAGGCAGTTCAGACAGCTACGTCGACAGGGTCTGGGACAGGAGCTCCAACCGGAGAACCAAGTGGCCTGTTGAAGAAAGATCTAGCCCGTTTGATTCCAAGACCTGGCATTTTCCAGCCCACTGACAGGGAACAGGAGATTCTTCAGTGGAGGGACTGGTTTTGGAGTATGAAACAGTATTTGGTGGTGGTGGACAGCGCCTACCAGGACGAGTTGGAGAAGATTGAGGAGAAGAGTGGGGAGGAGATCGAATGGTCATTCCTCACGGAGAAGGAGCAGGAGAGGGCACACTTCCTGTATAGCTTGCTTGGGAGCTTGATTCATGGACGATTGGTCGGATTGATCAAGAACGTGCCCCATTACAATGGATTTGAAGCGTTGATACTCAATTGCCAACCCCAAGCTCGAAATCGAACAATGAACTTGTTGCGAGGCATCATGGCCTATCCGAGCTAGCACTTCACACAGTATGAACGATTGGGAGGAAAGCTACCACCGGATATGAGGGCTGCAGTTCTTCTGAAGGCTATTTCAGGCCCCCTCAAGGTCCACCTCAACATGACGTTGAACGAGGGCAGCTCCTATGGCAAGATAAGAGAGGCAGTGCTGGCCTATGACACGGCAAACACGAAGTGGAACGAGTCGGCCGCACTGAGTTTTTCGAGTACGAGCCCAATGCAGTGCAATTTGAACGACATCAATGGACCTGCCCCCATGGAGGTGGATCGGTTGAAGGGAAAAGATAAAGGAAAAGGGAAGACCAAAGACCTGAAGGGCACCAAGGGCAAGGGCAAAGAGGAGAAGGGCAAGTCCAAGGGAAAAGGGGGAAAGGCCGTGGCTGGACCTAAGAGTGAAGGAAAAGGAAAAGGTGGGAAAGAGAAAGGAAAGGGCAAAGGGTCAACAGAGACTTGTTGGACGCGTGGACGCCCAGGGCATCTAGCAAAGGACTGCTGGAGGGTCAGGCAGATCGAAGCTCCAGCATCAAATGCCCCATCAAGCCCACCTACAGTCTCACCAAGCACTACGACGTCGATCCAGCCAGGAAGCGAGACCACGCTCAAGGCGGCGAGACGAGTTTCACAACCCCTGATCTTCGATTTGAGGAGCTATGAGGAGAATAGTGGGTCAATTCGAGTGCTGCGAGAGGTTGAGGAGCCTAGGAAGAGAGCAGCAGTTGAGTTCTACAACATCGCAACAGACGATGAGGAGGACTATGAAGGTGCGTGAATGCCATCTATGAGGTACCACCTGAGGAGGAGTACCAGGTGGATGATGACCCAACCGGCGATGGTGATGGAGTGATGGCAACGATCATCATCGATTCAGGAGCAGATGCTTCGATCTTCCCAGGTCACATGTTGAAGCAAGGCCGGAAAGCTCGTGGAATGTCGCCGTATCTCCAGGATGCTCAGGGAAGGGCAATCAGAACCTACGGGCACAGAGACATCGACATTGAGCTGAAGGCGGAGGACGACAGGCTGGTGGTGTTGAAGGAAAGGGTGACATTCAGTGACGTGGTGTCCCAACCTATCCTTTCTTTTGGCCATCTTCTTCGGTCAGGATGGTCAATCGCTGGAGAAGAGAGGTGTTTGGTCAATGGAGAGGTGAAGGTGCCTATTGACCTGCAGAACCACTGGTCGTACAAGGACAGATCAGGAATGTGGCCTTGGCGAGCTTCGTGAGGGCCTTGAAGGTCACTTTGGGAGAAGGCCTGAAGAAGATTGAGATGGATCAGTTGGGATGGAAGCGCCATGGGGAGAGATGGATTGGCGTGCATCGTGGACAGCACTTCCAGAGTCCCCAGTTCATCCCTGACATGAAACATCAAAAAGAAGGGATGAGACGGTGGTCAAGAAAGGTGACCAGTGGCAGCTCGTGGAGATGAGTGAGCCGGTGGATGGGCTGGAAGACCAGGAGGAAGAGATCGAGGAGTTGAGAGGTGAGTACATGGCAAAGATCATCACCTTTGTTGCACATTCCACAACATCCCAAGCACCAGAGGATCTTGGCTTTGAGGTCGAAGGGTTTGACTATGAGGCCTCAAGGAGGAGAAGAACAGATGAGGACGACTATGCCATCCCGATAGCCGATGATGAGGGTGAGTTTGAGGCGATTGAGGGACGAGAAATTGAAGGGCCTGTAGGTCCTGGAGGAGTTGATCTTGGGACCAACAGGCGAGGTTCGAAGTTGGAGTGGCCATCCCAGACAGAATCCAAGTCAATGGGGTGGAGCTTTCTCTGGACAGCCCTTTGCGCACACTTCGAGCTGCATGTGCTTTCTATCAAGTGGGGCAGTCAGGAAGCAAGCGCAAGTGTTTTGGCCGTCTGGTTGAACATCAGGCCCGTCTGGAACTCCTACAAGCTCGGGACCTCGCTCGTCGCGCCCAAGAACTACAAGGTCGAGAGCCACGAGAGCAAGCATTTGCAAAGGAGCCAGGCGAGGAAGAAAAGAGAAAGCATGCTCTCACCCACGTCCCGTACGCACCTTGGTGTTCAGCCTGCATTAAGCATCGAGGACGACCAGATCCCCACAGGCGCACTGGGAAAGCTCGGGAGTCAGGACCCGTAGTGTCATTCGACTTTTCCTACACGAATGCGCGGGGAATCGGGCCGCTTGGAGCACCGGAGGAGGGTGACCAAGCCCAGATTGGCGCGCCGGACGAAGGAGGAGCACTTTGGCTGATTGCAGTGTGCTCGGAAACGGGCTATTTGATGGGCCTGCCACTTCGATCAAAGAACCAAACAAGTCTCATCGCCCACGAGGTGCTCGCCTTCACCCAACTTCTTGGCCATGAGAAGGTGACGTATTATGCCGACAATGAGCCCGCCACTCGACAAGTGTTGAAGTTGCTGGTGCAAGCGAGGACAGCAATTGGTTTGGAAACCAACATGAGAACTACCAAGCTGTATGACTTGTCAGGCAACTCCCTTGCAGAGAATGCAGTCCAGAGGATCAGAGGGGTGGCAGCAAGTCTCATGGAGGAGGTTGCAACACAAACTGGTTTGCGCTTTAGTGCACAACACCCCTTGTGGAGCTGGTGCTGCCGACGTAGCGCTTGGGTTCTCAATAGGTTCCAGGCCACACAAGGAACAACCAGCTATGAACTCGTCTATGGAAGGCCCTATGAGGGGAAGGTTTGCCGGTATGGAAAGGTCCATGCCTATGTCAAGACACTCTCTCCCACCAAGAACTCCAAACACCTCCTGAGGTATATACCATCAGCTGCGGCTCCAACCAGTGCATTGAGCTCTGCCTCAGCCGAACTCAGGCTGACAGATTTCTGTCCTCTGGAACTCGAGAACACCACTGTGCCATTCACCATGTGGATAGCTGCACTTGTAGACCTGCGGTGACTCTTCGATCCTGACCAATCGCTGTCCGAGAAAGTCTCCAGCAACCATCTTGAGGTATCACATCGTGTAACCAATCCATGGCCTGCTTCTTCCAGTTCAAGGACTCCATATTGGCCAATCGTGGATTTCAGGTAGCCGATCATCTTCGCCAGCTTCTTGAGACTTCCTGTAGTAGGGCATGCCACGCTTGATGCCAGCTCTTTCACCGCAAAGCTGATGTCCATTCTCTCCTGGCTCAGGTAGATGCCACATCCAACCAATGAGCGATATAAACCTGCCAGTTCAACCCCCAATGGTGATGTTCCATCAGGTTCCAGCATCTCCTGTCCACAGGGAAGCTGTTGAGTTTTCACTCTTCCCATCATAGCCTCATACTTTTCAACCATCTCCTCTGCGTACTTGCCTGGATAGACTCGCAAGGTGGGGTTCTCCTCCTCATTGACAAGCTCATAGGTCCTCTTTAGGAATTGGATCTGGTCATTCTCCCTCTCAATGTGCTGTTGTGAGATCTCAAATCGAGCTTGTATTGCAGGCAGGAAAACTTGACTTACATATGACTCCTTTCCCACAAACATGACGTCATCCACGTGGATTAGAAGCATCATGTCATTGCTGCGCCTGCCCAAACAAGGGTTCTCA